GGGGTATTTCCAAAATTTTAGTTCGAAATTCCAAGAATTACGGGAGTTACGATTTGCGGGGTAGAGGGGGGAGGGAGGGGAATTCCAAAATATACATTTTCTGCGTATTCACATAAGGCATCTGGGACTAAAATTTGGTGTTCCTAGGTCTTATAGTCTCCGAGATATAGGCGATTATACGAATGGAAAATCGGGAAAACCCCCATAGGGGGGAAGTGGGGGGGAAAATCAAAAAAATAAAACAAACTCGTATAGAATACACACATAACGCATCTTCGTGCAAAATTTGGTGTCTCTATCTCTTATAGTCTCTGAGATCCAGGTGTTCATACGGACGGACAGACGGACAGACGGACAGACGGACAGACGGACAGACAGACAGACAGGGCTAGATCGACTCGTCTCGTCATGCTGATCAAGAATATATATACTTTGTGGGGTCTGCCACGCCTCCTTCTGCCTGTTACATTTTTCAGCTCCCGCAAACCTAATATACTCTTGTACATTTCATGTACAGAGTATAAAAACAGAAAGACCTAGTTATTTCTGCAATGTATTGAAACACAATTGAAAAGCAAACCAAAAAGTCTAGAAACGAAACATAAACTGCCGATATTGAAGTCAAAACAGAACGAACATGCGAATGCAACAGAATTGAAGCAGAACAAAAGTTAATTCGATATGAGCTTTACAATTGATCGAAACGGAGCGAAAGCAATTGAAAAGAAGAGCAACAGCAAAATTGTAAAAAGCTGAATAAAATTTATAGCAAACTTATCAAAGCTAGGTTTTTACAATCTGTAAAGCACACCATTTGATTCATTAATATTATAATTAATTGTGAATTATTATTTTTAATTAATTATTATTAATATTATAAGAATTACATATTTACAAATTCATCTAAGCTTTGCCTGAAAACTCAAAAATCATAAAAGGATTATTATTTGACTGAAAAAGTGGAATGGAGGATCGCAAAGTGAGACTGAGTTCTTCAAAAAGAATCTCCACTTCATTCTCGCAAATTGTTGTTGCCTTCGTAGCAATGACTTATTCGCATTGTTGTTGTTAGTCTTCATATATAGTATAGTATAAAGTTGATTCACAAAATGGTTTCATTTAGTTGGCAGCTTGCCTTCAAACCACTGTGCACCGTGCTCACAAAGACAGCCGACAAGGCGATAGTCAAGGGACCACCCACTGTCTTAAATTTCAACAAACTTCCACACAAACAGCACACACAAGCCACAAAGTAAGCTCAACAAATTTGTAAAAAAGCGTTGTCATTTTTCAAATGCAAAATCCAAGTCAAAACCAGCCAAAAACTTACGAGCCACAGCAACAGTAGTAGGAACAACAACAACAGCAACAACAACAAACACGAGTATAACTACAGCATGTCGGCAGCGTCGTCTCAAGTCACCTTAATTAATAGATTTATCGTTATGCTTCATATTACAACAAATTGGTAGTGAATTAATCCTTTCAGGTGTGTAAATTGAGCGCAGATCATGCGCATTACTCATACGACCCGCTAGACGCAAGCGATTTGGCTAATGAGCCGACATGGCGACTGTGTGGGTCAATAAAAAATCGTAAGAACTGCATTACACTGCCATTACGTGACGGTGGAAGGGTTCCCGACTCTGTCCATTTGGTGGGCATTGCCCAAATATGGAGAATATTGCCACTGCCCCCGCTCTCTACGCGCTGGCCACACAGTTGCGATCTTTCAAATTTATGTGTGCCTGCCTTCTTCTGTCTACTCTGGAAACAAAATATGAAAACGTAGGGAGAAACTATCGCTCAAGCAAAAGCCGACGAGCTAAGTTTCTGACTTTCTTCAGAATAGCGGTACAGATGCATTCGATGATTTCTATTATTTATATTAATTGTATTTTTAGTTAAATATATTTAAGTTCCTACTTTCCCCACAAAACAAAGTCAGTCGTAACTTTTCTTATAAAATATTGTACAATTTAAGAGTCCGCTTCAGAAAATTAAAAATAAAGAAAACAGACTAGAACCAATTTATTATAATTATTTAGTTATACATATGTAATGTTTATGTATGTATATGTATATGTAATTAGAACACATCGCTTCAGTGTGACGAACAAATTAAGTTCTTCATACATAAAAGTATAGAGAAAAATAAATGAGCTATTAGAGTAGTTCAGAGCATATTTCAAATCCTCTGCTTAAGAAGTTTTAAAATCGAAGAAAGAATAAAAGCAGAACTTTGCAAGACAGCAATATTCGTCCGGATAAACAAATATGTAGGGCTTTCATAAATACTTAAATGATGGTTTATTGCAAGTGAAAGTGTAGAATGTCGAATAAAAAACCTTTGAAATACATCTAACACTGTTTTTACATGGTAGATTGGATTTAAAAAAAAAACCTGTAAAAAAAGACATTAATCATATGCAAAAATATATGATTGATTCCTTATCTCTAAAACCTATTAAAATTAGTGAAAAAACAAGGATTTATGTGTATTTTATAAAATCGCATATACTACTTTTAAAGTGAACAACAACCCATAAAAGAATGGTCTCTAGTAATTTGTCAGTTATGTGTTTTTTTATTTATTTATTTTGTGTTATTTTTATTATATTTAATCGTGCTAAATGAAATAAAGTCGTGTAACCATATACACCTAATTCTGTTTATACACGGTAGATTGGTTACAGAAAAAGTCGTGTAAAAAAACCGTGTAAAAACTAAATTAGGTGTAAACAATTTTTAATTTTCAAACCGTGCAAAAAATCGTGTAAAAACAGAATTAGGTAAATAAGTTTTTACTTTTATTTTTGGGGCCTAGAGTTTGTTCCTGAGTAGGCAGTCGGTTCGAATCGATTCAATTGAAATTTCTCAGTTATCACAAAATTTAATAATTTTCTAAACCTGGACGCATATTAAATAAAAATTAAAGATGTAAAAAAATATATTTATTACCATCAATTATATTTTGTTATTTCATATAATAGTTTTATTAAAAAGGATTTTAGCCAATGAACAAGATTCATAGAGTTTGAAAAGAAAATATATGTATGTTAAATATAATGTTGGTACTTTTCCATTCACATTCAATTTATTTATTATGGATACTAGCTGAAATAATTTAAATGCAGGATTCATTATTATTTCTTTGAACTCTTCAACTCTGAAGATGAAATGGAGTAAAATGAAGTTACTATTTCCTGTATGTTACAGAAATTATGTCGAAGCTATTGTACTCCTTGTCAAGGGCATACAAAGAGTGCCTGACTTGGTGAGGTTCGACAGCAACACATGTTGAAGTTGCACTCCCTGGCGATGCTGCTGATTCTTCAACCGATGCTGACGCTGATGCTGTTGTTGTTGTTGTTGTCGTTGCTGTTGCTTTGGCTGCCCGAGTGCTGCCAACCAGCATGTCTGACTGCTACTGTGATGCCTGGGCTACTGTGCGGCAACTGTCCAAGCTGCTGGCTCTGGCTCTGACTCTGACTCTGGCTCTGGCCCTGGCTTAGTGCTCATGTGGGCTTGATTTAGTGCAACGTTTTTGCAATGCCTGCGATGTTGATGGGGCCAGATGCTTGAGTTATGGCTTGAACTATGCTACTTGAACTTGAAGTGCGCTCAGGTATTCTTCTGCGAGAGGGCCAGTACATATGTACAATAAGTACATAGTACCAATACCCAAGATTATTGATGTTAGGTACAAATGTTATCATCAATCACATATACTTATACAACTTTCCAAAAGCAGTGCAGTGCATTTCATCTGAGCCACTTAAACATGTTGCTGGCACGTCCTACGAGTGAGAATATATTGATGATCTGCTTCTGCCCAGTCAGAAGTGGAAGTCAAATATCCTGCACCTGAAGATAGGGCACAACAGCAGAAGCTTATAATATGTGACGAGGATATGATGCAGGGCAGAGCTAGTCCAGTGCTGGGCAATGCGAAGGCACAGATAAGCTATCTTGTTAAATACTTTATTTGATTTCGATATGCCTTTCAATGAATGGCTGACTTGGAGGGTCAATAATTCACCGATCACACAATATTGCTTTCCAGAACTAAGACGAAAGCACTTCGAACAATGTGATCTTTTTTAGCATGTTCCGGCATGCTTGATCAGGTCAGCTCCAGTATGTTACTGCAACAAAATCTAATCCCCTTCGTTTACTATAATTAAAACTTTGTGGATCAACCGATCTGCTCACTAGCCAACGGATTGGTCTCCGTAAATATCGGAAGCCAGCTATATACTATAACTATAGTGAAATGAGAACACCAACCTACAAAATTGAACACAACTCAGCCAAATACATACATGGCTAGATTAAAGATAGCCCCACAAAATATCCTCTCTCTAAATAGTGAAAGAGAATACACCTGACTTCGCATTTTTTCAATTGAGGGATGGAAAAGATTAAATTAATTATCAAGAAGTTACTTTTAGAAATAGGGTTAACTATTAAGTTTTGTCTGAAGTAGAAGATTGGTCGGATGATGCCTCAGAAATCAAGCCCAAATGTGAAAAACTTGACTATTGACAGACGAAGTCTTCACTCTATTTTGTTAGTTCATAATGCATTCCATGAACTTCCTTCGGGGTAGAGGGTCGTAAGGCCTTACTTTTAGAGTTAGCTTCTTTAAATATCTGATTCTCGACTTGTCGCGGCCTGTTGTTGAAGGACGACCTGTATGTGCAAGAACATTAAAAAACCCCCTTTAATGAAGTGCTGCCCTATTAGGAACTTTAAATAGGGGGCACATTTGTGACAAGTATACGAGTATACATAGGAAATGCTAAAATATTTTCGAGAAAGCTAACCTCACACTTACAGTGAGCATTTATCGGGGCGTGCTTATATAAAACTTTATTATACGGACTGCATCGAATTGCCAATTTGCTGCACTTTGAAAATATGAAATATATCTGTAGAGGAACGGCAAGATTTCAAAATATATGGCAGCTGCAAATTATTCACACAGTTCACCTCGTCATGTTGATTGCAGGTCTGTTAAGTTCTACAAGGATCTGCCTGCTGGTTTGGCTGTCGCTCTTAAGCCTTGAGGTGCATGGCAATGTGCTGGGCTTTACCAATGTAGATGTCCTTTATCAAAGTGCCAACTATACTGGTGTTCGCGGCGTTTTTCAATTGATGCAAGGAAAAAGCAAAATCAACAATGGACTTTTCAATTTCCTGTATTTCGCAACCGATGAAACGAAGGGTGTTATCGGATTGATAAGCTATGCCAACAGCAGCAAATATCAGGTTCAGTTTTCTATTTGGAATGCAGTTGGTGCTGAGCCAAATCGTCAAGATAAATTTGTCTGCAATGCGTTTGGTGACGACGCCAACGACCAAGGGTATCAGTGTTATAAAGAAAATTTCCACTTGACCCAGAACGGCAAGTACCATCTGGATGTGGAATTGGAAAACTCAAATTTCGTCGGCTATCTATCGTATAGACATTATGAAAACAAGCGACGTTCCACTAATCGTACCAGAATTGGCACAATCAAGTGGTCGGGAGATCTGCATAATATAGTACCTCTTGCATACCGTACACAAAACTATGTTGACCGACAGTCCTGTTTGCTTGCCAACGAACTGGTGGCCGTCAACTGGGCTCCAATACAATATAAAGGAATTATGGCAGAAGATACGAGATTTGATGACAATCCTCAGCTAGTATATTCAAACTGTACGTCACAGAATATTGTTATTGCTGTCTCAGCTCGACGCGATATTGTCGTATATTTTTCACGCCCAACGAGACATCTTTAAATTGGTGTCGTATTAAGATGTCTAATTTAGTAAAACGAGCATTCAGTTTAGTGCAACTGAATAATAATACTAATAAAAAACACGTATCTAGAACTCCCAACTGCTGTACCACTTGTATTTTATGCCCCATTTAGATCGCCATTAAAGAGCTGTGCTTTATAGTGAGTATCCAAAAGTAAAAAGAATCTTTTAAAAATATCCCTTTCTGGTGGTGTCTTATAAGGATGGTTGACTGCCTCTACATATTTTCATCTCGACATAGCGTCAATAACAAACTACCGGATAGCACTCTGCTTGATCTGCTTTCAAATCAGTAAGACCTTTTCTAATACTTTTCAATTGAAGTAAGAAGTTATTAGTTATATTCGTCTATTTCGTAGAGAGGAATATATACCAGAGTATAAATGATTAAATTATGACTGGCATGATGATGAGCAAGGTGGTTACCGAAAATGCTGTCGAAAATATGCTTGAATTTTTTCAGAATATTTATAGAAATTTGAGAATATATCTCCAAACCAATGACTCATTGCATTTTAATAAAACAATTGGATCTGCAGAATGTTGCCTTATCTGCCGACACTTGTCATTAATTTGTTGACAAAAAGTCGCATTTTAACCACCGATCACTTCCTACATTTGCCTTACTTGACTACGTGTGACTAAGAGCTTTCCGGAAAATGGCATTTGGCCATAAAAGAAAGGCGCTATAAGGCCGCCAAAGCCATTCAAAAGGCTGGTACCACAATTCTGAAGGCGTAGAAATGCTTTTTGATCGTGCAAAATTTGTAAGGGAAGATAATTGTTTTGTTTAAAATGAGTTCATTTTGTAAAACTATCAATTTATTTTTCCTATAACGGAACTTCCTGTTTTATATAATAGTCTCAGACATAACAAATAGGTGTAATTGCGTTCCAACTACGCCCTTTAAAGCGTATCATTGCAACTAATTATATACTACTTATATAGAGGTTCCCTTACATAAGCGGCGTGTACTGTTGCTTTCAAATACCTCTGTACATCGGGCACATAGAACAGTTACACTTACTTGGAGCACCATGGTACTGGCAATTCTAAAGTTTTGGCTGTATATCTGCCTGGCGTTGTTAAGCACTGTTGAGTGGGGAGAAAGTTCCGTGCTTGGTAACTTCAGAGCACTGGTCAAGTATAAGAAGAACAAGTTCACGGGCGTGCGCTCCATTTTCCAATTAACAATCGGAATAGATGAAGTAAACGAAGGTATCTATAATTTCATCGATTTCCACACCGACCAGACAAGGGGCTACTTCGGTATTCTCAACTATGCTCGTAGCAAAAAATACCAAATTCACTTTTCGATTTGGAATGGAACGCGCGCCACTGCGGCCGAAGGTAGTGTCTGCCAGCATTTTGATTACAGTCCTACCGATATAGGTTACAAGTGTAAATACGAAAATTTTAGAATCCTAAGCAAAGCTATATATTATTTGGACATTGAAATAAGCGACAACAGCTTCACTGCTTACATATCGCTTGCTCAACAAGATGCGGAATCGCGCCATTCCACGAAAGTGGAGCGCAAAAAGATTGGCACAATCTTCCACCCGGACATACAAAGCGAACTGATACCTCACGGATATTACGTGCATAGCTCTGTGGATCAAGAAACATGCTTGCTTGCCAATGAACTAGTGGCTGTCAACTGGGCACCCGTACAATACAAAGGTTCCAAGCGGGAAGATACCTACCTCATGACAACCCAAAGCCAATCGGATTGCAGTGCAGAACATATAATGATGGCTATCACGGAAGATCGGAGATGTAGTATCTATTTTACGCGCCCAACACGCTTAGGAAATAGGCAACGAAAAATCAAAGGCAAAACTACTGACCTAAATATGGATTTCTTAGCATTGGAAAAAATGTAAAAATACTGAAATAATTGAAATAAAAAGTTACCATAAATGAGCATAATACAAGTATATAAATAATATATATATAATATTATCCAATAATAATTTCATAAGATAATATAATATATAAAAATAAACGATCCTCTAAATCGCAAGAGGAATTTAAACATAGATGGTTTTTTTTTTTGTGCCAGATAATTGGAAAGGCTGACTTGCTATTTAGTGATAATAAAATATTTATAGCTAGGAAATAGTTGCTCATCAAAGTCTTTTAGAGAATTCGATGATAAGCTTATTTTAGGCACCAGCTGGGGCAGGCTTACCTGTGTAAGCCAACTTGGAGGTCATATTTATTTTTTTAATTTTTATTAATAGCTAGGAAATAGTTGCTTTTCAAAGTCTTTTAGAGAATTCGATGATAAGCTTCTTTTTAGGCACCAGCTGGGGCAGGCTTACCTGTGTAAGCCAACTTGGACGCCATATTTTTTATTTTTATAGTATTTATAACTAGGAAATAGTTGCTCATCAAAGTCTTTTAGAGAATTCGATGATAAGCTTATTTTTAGGTACCAGCTGGGGAAGGTTTACCTGTGTAAGCCAACTTAGCTTGGAGGTCATGTTGCAAATCCAGCGAATTCGTTTTTAGGATGGCACCGCTTGGACTTCCCTTGGTTCCAGAATACATACAGAATACATATGTACTCGTACAGACATATGTATGTACACATGTCAACACCATGAACCTGAAACCTGAGCGTCTGCACGGCGAACTCTTAAAAGCGTTTTGTATTCTAATTAGATTGTCAACGGCACGACAACAACCTCATTTTGCTCAAAATGTGTTTTCACATTAGCGCCGAGCGAGGTTTTCAGACTAAAATCAGCATAAAGTTTTAAGCCACCAGCCACCAGTTGGCTAACATGCTGCGCCATTGCGGCAATAATAGTTGAGGCAGGCACAGGCCCAGGGAACTGCAGTTTGAAGTTCATTAACATGCACAGGTTAATTACCGTTTTTTTCTCCTTCCTACTTCTTCTTCATCTTCTCCTTCTCCTTCTGGTACATGTTGTTGGTTGTGGCTTACCTTTGCTACCAATGGAAGCAAGGAAATGAGCCATTAGAAGCGCACAGAGCACAAGCGCCGAGGCCATGTCTTCCAAGACGATAAAATGGCTAAAAGCACACATAAAAACACATGTAAGCCGCTCCATCATGTGTGTGTGCGCTGGTGTGTGTGGGACTGTGACAAATGCCCATGCGCAACGTTGATTTTTTTTGCAAGTGTGTTTCTGTTCGTTTTTTTTTTTGTTTTTGTTTTTGTGCCAGGTACATGCAAAATGTTGCACTGATAAGCCGGAACGGTGGCAACTCTAGCAACGGCCAGCGGTAAATGAGTAACGTCGCCTTCATTGTCGTCGTTGTCGTCTCTCTGTGCCGCGCACGATCATTAAAACAAAAGCGACAATAGCGGCGACCACTGACAAGGCATGACCAAAGAGCCAAACAGCTACCGTAATGCCAAAGCCTTCTTCAGGCTCCGCATAGCGCTGAGGCAGGAGTCGGTGGCAGTGCCTTCTGGTGTTGGATTGCCTTAAACGATCCGCGTGAATAACTAATTTCAATGGAGGCTGCTGCCTGCACACGCGCGCCAACCAACATTTATCACCCACCATCGCTCCATCGCTCTACCAGAGCCGAGGCAGAAAGGCAGTGAAGCAGGCAGCCGAGTTGGCCAAACTTGCGAGCCAAGACAATAGCCAGAGCATCAGTTTTATTTAGCTAAGACAAAGGTAGCGCGCCATCCTTTTTTGCTATATGTTTTTATTTTGTTTTTGTTTCAACGGTCATGACAATAAAAAGCTACTAACATTGCGTAGTTAACGCATAGGCGAGTACGTATTTAACGAACGTTCGGAGAGTGTGAGGCGTTTTAGAAATCTTTTATAGAAAATAATATTCGAGGGGAAGTAGTGAGTGCTTTTGGGAAATAAAATAATATAAGGGAAGTAGTGAGTGCTTTTATGTAGACATAAATAGGTGTAACCGGTTCCCCATATTGCTGAAAATTAAACCGCAGCATTAACTTTTTTCGGACTGGTTAAAATAACAATAATGCTGTTCAGCTTGACAGAAATGATTTTGCTCCGCTAATTAACTATTTTTTTTATACCCTGTACCCGTAGGGTAAAAAGGGTATATTAGGTTTGTGCAAAGTATGTAACATACAGAAGGAAGCGTCTCCGACCCCATAAAGTATATATATTCTTGATCAGCATGGCGAGAGAAATCGATCTAGACATGTCCGTCCGTCTGTCCGTCCGTCTGTCCGTCCGTCTGTCCGTCTGGATGAACGCGAGGATCTCAGAAACTATAAAAGCTAGAATAACCAAAGTTGGCATCCAGATTCTCCTAGGTCCGAGTAAGGACGAGTTTATTTATTTTTTTTTAATTTTCCCCCCCTTCCCCCGCTACAGAATTTCGTCAATAGCGTCCACATTTCAAATGCTACCTAAACCAAACTTTGCACACATAATTTATATATAATTGTCTACTGTTGTTCAAAATTTTATTCAATTCGGTCAATTCTAAGAAAAGTTATTAGCGAAACAAATTCTCGACAGTACAACACCCCCAAACTGCAGCAACAAGTTCGCTCTTCTTCTTCCTCTTTTTGCTGCTGCTATGGGCGCATATAACTCAGTGACGGAAGTTTACCTGGGTACAGGGTATTACACTATCGGGCTTGCTCGACTGTAGCGTTCTCTCTTGTTTTCATTTCATTTAATTTTGTCGAATACAACCAATTGTATTCAAAATGTATTTAAAATAATACATATATTTAAATAAGGTAAACACAAAATAATTGGCACTATTGCACTCATTTATTATACCCTCTACTTTAGTAGAGTACCATAAAAGAGGAAAGCAGCACTTAGCTTAGTTCCTAAATAGCATGGTTTGTGGTTGTTTTCTCCATTTATTTACTTACTTTATTTAATCAATTTTATTTATAATTCAATGTAGTCGAAGTTCTATACAGCTGGAATCGTGATACCAATTTACATATGGTTCTACAATTAATTTCGAATCGATTCATTTGATGATGGAGTTATAAAATCGCTCTATGTCCAGTTGCTACTTAAAACATATTGTTGGCTATGTTGAGGTTAAACTTTAAAAGACTCGCAGGTTGCAAGAAATTGTGT